CGGGTCCCTGCGCAGCATCGACCAGTTCGGTACGTCTGCCCCGGGGGGGCTGGGGGCTTCGGCCACGCTCGGGTGCCAGCCGTGTGCGGGGAGGAGGAGGGGAGCAGCCCCACGGTGCCCGCTGGCATGAGCTGGGTGATGCTCCCGCAGCACCCCGCTGTTGGAGCAGCTCCCTTCCCAAACGGCGGCTTAACGGTACAGAGGGAGTTTGGATTTGGGGAGAGCTCCCCGTTCTGCGGCTGCACCGCCTGCAGCAGCAGCCCCAGCGCGCCGGGCACCAGCAGGAGCGCGCCTGTCCGTGGCTAAAAGCAACCCGAGTTTCAAAAGAAATCAGTTTAGTTGTGGGTGGAGCGACGTGACCACAGGTCGCGTTTTTGGAGTGCGTTTGTGGTGTGGATTAAACGCCCGCCTGCGCCTCCCCCCAGACCTGGTGCTTCACGGAGACTTCTCCCAGAACGGGGTGCTTCCCCCGCTCCTGATTGCACCCAGCGCTGATGCTCTGGCATCCCTTTTTGGGCAGAAATAGCCTGAGATGCGCACGGGTGATGTTTGTGCTCACGACCCAGTGCCTTGGTCCTTGCCCGGAATCTGCAGCACCAACGATGCCGTTGTCTTCTCCTCTGCCGTCGGCCCGTGGTGCTTGGGTGGGCTCGGGCCCTGGTGCTCTGCGCTGGCCGCCCTGCCTGCGGGAGCTGGAGAGCAGAGGCTGCCTCCTGGGAGCTGCCACATCGCAGCGTTTCAGCCGGGGAGATGGTCGGTGCCTTCGGTGATCCGGTTCAGAGGACCCGCCGGGAGGCGTGAAAGTGCTGGTGCTGCTCTGGGTGTTCTGCCTGGCTGGGATGGGACGCTCTTTATAGCTACAAAACACAGCGAAATCCAGATTATCTTCTCTCCCGATCGCTGCAGCAAACTTAGTGTTGCACCAGACTGTGGAGCGCATCCACGTGGGCAAGAAGTATGGGGACATCCCTCGAGGCATCTTTGTGGTGAGAGGCGAGAACGTCGTTCTGCTGGGGGAAATTGTAAGTAAGCAGCTCCCGCTGCCTGC